TACCTACCTACCTACCTACCTACCTACCTACTACTACTACTACTACTACTACTACTACTACTACTACTACTACTACTACTACTACTACTACTACTACTACTACTACTACTACTACTACTTTTGTTGCTGCTTCAATAGCTACTAATGTTATTGAAATTTTGACCGTCTTGACCACAATTTTCTTTAGATTTTTGTCTTTATATAAATATATAGAAACTCACCTCTCCAGACACTTTCTCTATGACTTCGAGTCTCCTGCTGTCGCCAAGATAGGACAACGGATATCTGCAATAACAGGCCTGAATACAGAACAAGAATGGGACAACGTTCACTATGCAGGAGAACCCCTTCAGGTTCGTCGACATTCTTGTCAGGTTGATTTTTAAGTGCATGTTGACTACACTACACCGTTATTTCCGCGCTTTTTCGAGATTCGTTCATTTCATTTTTCCGCGAACACCCCCCCCCCCCCAAACACACTCACCCATGCACACTCACTCACACACATACACACGCGCACACACTCATACACATGCACGTATACTATCGTGCTCAATACACACATGCACATTCAACCACAAACTCAAAGGTAAATAAAATAGCTTTTTAATGGAGGCACTTAATCAAAATAAAGCTTATTTTAGACTTTGAAATCACATGTCAATTGGGGTCTTCGACTATTTTTACTCTAGACATCCCTTAAGAAAAAAAACAACAACCCAAAACATTTTCTTCTATTTTGCTTCTTTCCTCAGATTTTGAACTATGGTTTGGGAGGCCACTACGCGACTCACACAGACACATTCTCTGAGGTATGTGCTAATCTGACGTGAAACAGATTGTCCCTACGTTATTTTCTCATTTCAAAAAATGTTTTCGTTTAAAGACACATGTACATTTTTTAGGCTGAACTTTAGGGTTTCACATATGTTGTTGTTGTTGTTGTTGTTATTGTTGTTGTTGTTGTTGTTAATATTGCTGGAGTTGATGTTGTTGTTGTTTTTGTTGTTGTTGTGTTCACAGGTACTGACAATGATGATGATGATGATGATGATGATGATGATGATGATGATGATGATGATGATGATGATGATGATGATGGTGATGATGATGGTGATGATGATGATTATGATGATGATGATGATGATGATGATGATGATGACAAAAGAACAATCTGTTAGAGCCATTCCAGTCTGTCTATCGAGCTAACCACAGCACAGAAACAGCACTTCTTAAACTCATGAATGACATGCTTACTGACTGATTCAGGAAAAGTTGTTTTCCCGAGCCTTTTAGATCTATCAGCAACTTTCGATACAATTGACCATAATATTTTATTGAAGCGATTGGAAGTGTCTTTTGGATTATCCGGGATGTCCTTAGCTGGTTTTGTTCTTACCTGTCAAATCGGTACCAGTCTGTTGTTATTAAAGGGCTTAAGTCATCAGATCATGCTCTTAAGTATGGGGTCCTCCAGGGCTCAGTCCTTGGTCCAGTTTTGTTCACCATTTATACTCAATCACTTGTCAAGGAAATAGTTAAGTATGGCTTAAAATATCATTTCTATGCTGATGATACCCAAATTTATGGTTCAACAATGTGTACCAACTTAGATGAACTTGTCCATCTTGCTGAACTGAAAATTGTATTGCCTCAGTGAAAAACTGGATGAACAAAACCAAATTGATGTTGAATAATAATAAAACAAGTCATTCTAGCTGGCAATGCAAAGTCTGTTAAAGAGGTTGACCACGATCATATGACAATTGGTGATGCGAAAATTGCATTTTCAAGAAAAGTTAAGAATCTTGGCATCTATTTTGATTCCAGTTTGTCAATATCGGCTGAGATAAATCATCTGATCAGCTGCATGTATTTAGAAATAATTTTTTAAAGTAAAATACGTCATCTGATCAATACTAAGTATACTGCTTTACTAGTAACTAGCTTAATTATATCAAAACTCGATTATTGTAACTCCTTGTTTTCAGGAATATCACTGGAGAAAGTTAAAAGACTTCAAACTGTCCAAAACAATGCTGCACGATTAATTTTACGGAAAAGAAAGCGAGACTCTGCTAAACCTCTTTTACGGACATTGCATTGGCTCCCCGTTGAGAAAAAAATTGTATTCTAGTTGGCCACCCTATGTCACAAATGTTTGAATGATAATGCACCACTATATTTATCAAATCTGTTAAGACTGTAGATTCCAACTCGCAGTTTAAGGTCATCGGCTGACAAAAAGAAAATTATTTTACCATCTATGAAACTTAAAACAATGGGTGAAAGGGCATTTGAATACCAAAGCCCCAAGATCTGGAATGCTTTACCAAGTACTTTAAAAGAGATCAGATCTTTTGATCCATTCAAATGTCAGCTGAAGTCGTTTCTGTTTTTAAATTAATAAGATGAATACTTGGCGTAATTTTGTTTCAGTCAAAACACGTTTTATGTTACTGTTGTACGTTGTACTGTATTGTAAAGCGCTTAGAGCCTGTGTACTTAAATTGGGGTTGAGTGCTATATAAATGTCACTTATTATTATTATTATTATTATTATGATTATGATTATTATTATTATTATTATTATTATTATTACTATTATTATTATTATTATTATTATTATTATTATTATTATTATTATTATTATTATTATTATTATTATTATTGTTGTTGTTATTATTATTATTATTATTATTATTATTAGGGGGGGGGCTGGAGGGGATGATGGTGATTATCATTATGACAAATATGCTCCTGCTGCTACTGATGATGATGACGATGATGATAATGATGATGACATTACGCTACCTTAGAATTGCAAAGTTTTTTCTGCTCAGTGCCTAGTTTTGAAAAATTTGACACAAAAGAGTTTCATAACATGTCAAGCTTTTTTAAATGCAACTCTTTGAATATCTTGATGATGACTTCGAGTAATTTTACCATTTTGCTAGAGAAGATAGAACATCTGATTTCCGATCTCAGCGCCTTAGTAACTCAAAACGGCCGAACATGTCAATTGCAATTTGTAATTCTCAGGTAGTGATTATGATTGTACCAATTGTGGGGATGATTACGTTGATGAAGACGATAACGACAGTGAAGTGACAAAAAACACAGAGTTAAAAAACGATAATAATCAACACCAGCAGCAGCACTAAAATCATAAATACCAGTATCCCCAGCATCAGTTTTAGCAGCAGCAACTACAGCAACAGCAGCAGCAGCAGTACCAGAAAGAAGCAGTTGTGTCCGTAACAAAGGCGACCTGATTGACAGCAAAGTGAATTTGAACTTTACTAACTAAAATCTCTTCCTCTTTATTTCAGGAACAAAAGCATAAGCTAGGAGCAACAGCACTTGAAAATGGCAACAGGATTGCTACATTTCTCATTTATGTATGTAGCCAGCTGAATCAGATCGGGAAATCATCTCATGCTTTCCATTAGACTATAGACAATTCACTGGGTTTTTTAAAGTGGGTTTTTGTGAGAACTTCGTCTTGAGTTATTTAGCCAGTTGAGCTTAACTTGTGGTAAAGCCATGTCTCGAAAAAAATGTTTTCCATGCATGAAAAGATTGCTTGAGAGTTGTGTGACATTATGTGGTAGCAAAAGGTCACTATGACCTATATTAATGTAGTCTTTAACTGCCAGATCCTTTCTGTAAGTGGAACCCAAAATAGCTGATTTAGGCCTATCTTGAGCTTGCTTCCTTAGATGTTGTTTTTTAAAAGGAAAAAATAAGGTTAAGGCTTATTCAATTAGGATTTATGTTCCTAGGGTACATCGTTTGTAAGATGATTGTGTGTTGAGGGGGAGTCGAAGTAGTAGGCCTACCCTTTTTAGTACAGTTATAGGAGCAATGTGTATGAGAACTGATGAGCCTCAATTTTATATATATCGTACATTTATTGTAAATTTTAAAAAAGTCAGCACTGTCCCTGCTGTACTCATGTTTTTTAAAACTGCAATTCAGATGTAATCGTCCATCGTGGGTCATAGAGGTTTTCCTTAGTGACTGACACTGTCAGATAGATAGATAGATAGATAGATAGATAGATGGATAGATAGATAGATAGATAGATAGATAGATAGATAGATAGATAGATAGATAGATAGAAAGATAGACAGATAAGATATATAGATAGATAGATAGATGGATATATATATTTGATTTAAGCATCCAGACAGTACTGCTTCAATTCCTTTTGTTCTGTCCTCTAATCCTTCTCACAGTTGAGCGATGTGGACAAAGGAGGAGCAACAGTTTTCCCCTTCGCAGATCGAGCTGTTTCCCCCGTGAAGGTAAGTCTTTGTTTCAAGAAGTGGCGTATCCTTCTAGACATGGAACACGCATTTTCAAAGATGGACCCCCCCCCCCCCCCAAAAATAATCACTACAGTCTATAGCACGCCAAGATATGGGAGTATTCTCAATAGGCGGAGCAATACAATAAGGGTTTTCATTGAGGAGGATAACTGGCTTTGCCCTTCCTTGATCTAGGAAGAAGAAAACATTTTCGCCTTAAAGTAAACGCTAGTCGTTTTCAAGTTCTGTACCAACGTCTGTGATGAAGAGGTTGGGCACTTCGCAGAAGAGGTTAGTTCGATTCCCGTGTGGGGAGGCTTTTTTCTTATCGAGTGACTACGTCTTTTTGCAGGAAGATTGTATCCCTCTCAGCGCGCGGGACACATTTAACATTTTCAGTTGGTTAAAAATTTTGAATCGTGCCCGGGTGGCGTCCGAAGCCAACTCCTATCGATTTTGGACCACCACGGGATCTTTAACGTGCACAACTTGCACACGGGAACTCCGAGATTTTTCACCCTTGTCCGAGCTATGTGTAGATCTTTCCTACCATAAGATTAGGGTGTGTGTCTGAAAGACAGCAGTAAGAAGGAGCCAAGGGGTAGCAGTAGAAAGGCTGCAGAAAGAGCCAGGAGCCCATTGGAGGGGGCAAAGGAGATGAAGGGGTAGGGGCAGAAAGTGGAGACGAAAGCAGACGACAGAATATTGCTAGAGAGCAGGAAAGGAGGTAAAATGAGACAATTTTAGAGAAGGAAATTCTGCCGTGTCCCGGAATCGAACCAGGGACCTATTGATTGAGAGGCGAACACCTTAACCTCCAGATCACGAGAGCCCCCAACAGGCAGGTTTGAGGCAGTCTCTCTCCTAAACGATTTAGAATGTGTCAATCTTCAATTGCATAGGATTTATGTGTGTGAGGTTTAAAGGCTTTGCCCCCCCCCTATTTATGAAGGATACATTACACCCTGCTTTACCCTCCCACAGAGACAATACGCTAACTATTATGTGTGGGTGGTTGGTGGGTGCTCTCGTGTGATGTGCTCCTTTATTCCTATCACACATCTATCGTCCTTATCTCTCCTCCTTTTTTGTTTTTGTTACTCTCTTGTAACGCCTCTAATCTTCGGTACTTATATGACCAAATTGTGTTGCAAGTGCCGTAAAACACCTACTAAAACAAAATTATTTCATCTTTCCAGAACATGGCTCTCTTCTGGTACAGCTTGGAACCATCTGGAAAATTGGACAAAGCTACAGACCACTCGGGCTGTCCAGTGATGGTGGGACACAAATGGGGTAAAGTATTTTTATTTCTCGCTTTTTTCCCCTTCTAATCCCCCTCCCCCGCCCCCTCTCTCTCTCCGTCTCTCTTTCTCCTCCCCTCTCTCTTTCTCCCCCCCCTCCCTCATGCTCACTCATTTTCCTTCTCCTGACCCCCCCCCATCGCCTTCCTATTTGTTCGGGCCTATCAAACCTAATCGTCATGCACACATACATACCCCTTTGTTGTCTGTCGTCTATGCTCATAATATAAACATGAAGGGGCCAAAAACAACACGTAAAAATGCAGTCTTTTTCACATAGCGTATGAAAGATGGGTGCCGAAGGACCAACGCAGATGCTCACACGGGACTGGTGGAGTAAGGAGGAAGGGAGAAGAAAAAGAAGAAGATGAC